TTGGACAAAGTTAAAGATGCTCTTACAAGATGCGCATAAAACAAGATTTCTTTCAGCAAGCATTTGTCTTAAATAAAATTAAAAATAATTTGAAGAATGCTTTTTGTAAAAAAAAAATGTTTCAAAAATTATCCTATGTTGTTTTTCTAGTTATATTCTTGTCTAAGTTTTCACAAAAAGTTATTTATTTGTGAAATATTTTGAAAAGAAAATGTTAAGAAATGGGTTTTTATAAACAACGGCTTAAACAAAACTTTGCAATTACTTGTAAGTGCATAAAAAAAATGTAATTTAAAGCGGAAAAACAAGCGTTTGATTATTTTTAGGGAGTTTAAAGATACCTCGCTCATTTTTAGGGAGTGGAGTTTAAAGATACCTCGCTCATTTACTATACATTATAACCCTTATACAGAAAGCATCGAAGTTTTAAACAGTCGTGGAAAGATTGCTAACGTTATATCTAATATTCAGTCGGAGATAAACGTTTTATTGCAAGTTATTGGTGAGAACCGATTGTTGCATTGAAAATTCTTAAAAATCATCGACTAAAACCATTTTTTAACCACTAATATACTATGTATATAAGTATGTGTGTGCATTTTATTCTGTGTAGAAATGACATTTTTTTGCATGGCAGCACTAAGCTTTTATCCTTCACCTCTTGAAAAAAAAAAGTTTTGTCTCTACTTTTTGATACGTCATTGCAATATGCAGTATACAAAAAAATTGAGATATTTTCAGGATTAAAAAAAACTAGAAGAATTGCAATGACAATTTTTAATATTTTTAAATGTACGAAGTAACAATTAATAAAAGTTAACTTTTTCAACTAAGAACTTTGCTATTTAATCACGGAATATAAAGTATAATATATTTAATTGTTACAGATTTAAGAAATTTTAAATTTGATATTTTAAGCTCAATTGATATTTTAAGACAAATTTGACAAAAGCATCCATTATAATCATTTAAAAAAATTAAAGTTTATTGCCTAATATTTGTCTGTTTGAAATTAAATAGTACAAATAATTTTTTTCTAACACGCATATTATTTCTATAGCAGAGGATAATTTTCTAGGTTTGTCACTTTATTTATTGGAGTTTTATTAAAATTATTTAAGCATGCTTTAAGTATATTTATACACATATTTCTGAGAATTTTTAATATATGTTGTTTTATAAACGTGTGTTTTCAATTTGCTAATATTTTATTCATGAATTTTTTCACTAGTTTGTGAAAACTCTGTTTTTTTTTTAAAAACTTTGTTCCAAAAGGTCTGCAGCATCATTAAAATATGTCTTAAAAATAAAATAAAAATTGCTGACAATAGATTACAGCATAAAAACAGCTTTCTGGTAAATTGTATTTAATTATTTTTTAGCAATTGTATTTTTGTAACTTTATTAACTTAAATAATTTTTTTTTTATTAACTTAAATGAGGTATTCTGTAAACAGAGGCGGATCTAAGATTTTTTCTAGGTGTAGCTAAAAAAATTTTAAGCGTGTCATAATCGCAACTAATCAACATTGCCAACACCCTAAGTGGAGAAAAATAGATTTTGAGATATTTGCTAAAAACTGTTGAATATTCGCCCAATGTGCCTAATATTAAACAGTTAATATAAATAATATATTACTATGTTCGTTTTGACTCTAAGACCAAATATCATTATATAAGGCTTCCTTGTTTTTTTTCAAATCTTATAGTGAATCATATTTAACGCCTAACTAAAAAAAATCAATTTTTGCACTGAAAGTGTTCTTAATTGGCAGGGTAGAATAAGTTAGTTTATTTAGTTTGAAAAAACGCCCGCAAGTTGTATCATAGAGATTCAACATCAGTATTTAAACGAAAAATTAAAGAGATAATCAATTGCTGCAAATTATTATGTTCATAAATTAAACATACAACATGTTTATTACATTTAATAATTTCATCCTCTACGCTTTTTTTATTTTGTTTTGTGTGTGTTTTCATATAATATGTCTAAAATCCATTATGGTTACTTTTACCTTGTCTTGAAAGCAATAGCATAGAATCTACTTATCTTTCTTTTAATTTAATTTTAGATATTAAAAATATATATATTTCTCCTAATTTTTGCATCATTTTGTAAAACTTAGAAACTATGTAAAAATTAATTAACCTTGAGTTAAAGCTTTGGCTTAAAAATATGTCTTCTCGATTTAGATGTCATAACAGGTCTTTCAATTTTTGCGCGGCAAAAAAACATGATATCGTACTTCGGCTACTACAAGCCTGTTTATATTTAAAAGTCTAGCTTAAACTGTTTTTGATAAAAAGTCGTCACATTTTTTGGATTATACTAGAGAAGCGTGATGAGTTTTTGTTTTTTTGAGATTAGGGAGTTACCTACGTACGCACGTAGATACAACCTAGACACGCAGGTATTAGATTTGGGAGTTACCAAAAACATATAAAAACAAGGGGTGTGAGTGTGTTATAGTCAGAGAGCACGAAAGCTTTTGATGATCTCTCGTTCGTTTTCTCTCCGCTTTTTTAAACAAAAGCATCAAATTTCACGAGTTTTAATAATCGACATTATATAATGTAACAGATATGTCGAATTGACTAAAAGTATTTTTTTTTTTTTTTTTATGTTTCTAAAAATTTACGAGTAAAGAAATGGGATGTCGATTTTGCAATAAATAATACGTGTATACGCAGAGAAAAAGAAAGAGAGGGGAGGGGAATTAAAAGCATACAGGTGGGGAGAATGTCTTTTGAATCAGTGGTTTCACTGCGTATGTACTTTATGGAAGTCCTCAAACTAATTAACTAAAAATATTCTCACAAAAAAACAAATTACTTATTTTAAAGAGGAAAAAATAATCATTCTAATTGATATAAAACATGTCTTTATAATAACTTTTCGCGGAATGACCCAAATTTGGCTGAAATTTCACAGGACTAAGTGCAGACATCTGACACGACACCACCTTAGTATCTAATAGCAAAAAAATTTTTCATCAAAATCATATTTATCACTACTTTTCTTGTTATTGTTAAGTAATTCTAAAACTGCAATGGTAGAAGCGTGTCCTTCTATTTGAGCATGTTTCACAGGTATTTTAATTATTATTATATTACAGATTTATATAAAGATTACATAGAATTTATTATACTTATATTTAAATGATACAGAATAAAAGAATAAAGAAGCAGAGAAAATATTTAAAAAAATCAACTAAAAGCAATACTAAAAAGCTATTTAACATTAAAAAAAATTATTTGAAGACATCTTTTTGTTTTTTATAATTATAACTTAAAAATATATATAAATTATATATAACTTTAATATAAAAATTATAATTGCTTAAAAAACATTTAGATTTTAGATTTTGGCTGAAATACCTCTTCGGATAGTTATTTTACTTTTTCGGATAGTTATTATTACTATAGAAATGGTGGGGAAGGGACTATTGATTAAAAAGTATCAAAAAGGTACAAATTTAAACAAATTTTAACAGTTTTTCATTAAAGTTTTTTTTTAATGATATTTCAATGCATAAAACGTTCAATGCATAAAACCTATATATCGAATCTAATTGAAATAAAAATAAAATACTAATTATTATAATCCTGCATTTTAAGAGATTTTATCAAAAATGTTTAAAGAGATTTATTTCAATAAAATACAATTGTTTGTCACTTTTGAAATCTTATAAATGCTAATAAGGGTATTCGTAACCTTATTAATTATATAATAAAATTCACTATCAGGCAATATATTTGTAAATTCACTATCAGGCAATACACTTGTGACTTCTTGATATTAGTTGAGTCTCAATGTAGTATAGCAGAGTTAAAAATTTTATTTACACACGTTAAAGATTTTTTAAATTAGCTCAGATCACACACATGGCTGGGATTTTTAAATTAGCAGCGATTCACGGTAGATGATAGAATCAAAAACCTATTCCGACGTTTAAAGTTTTGTATAAACTGATGACCGGAATATGACAAAATAAGCGTTTGATACAAGCGTTTGATTTTTAAACAATTTTTAACACCAACTATTTTTTAAACTTATTGCCTGCCCAAACCATTAGTCGATGTATGTACACACCCTGCATGTTTTACCTATTTAGTCAGTTGATGTATAAACACTCCCTGTATGTTCTACCTATTTAGTCGTCCGATGTATGAATACTCCCTGCATGTTCTACTTATTTAGTCAGTCGATGTACGAACAATCCCTGAATATTCTACCTATTTAGTCAGTCAATGTATGTATACTCCCTGCATTTAAGTCAGTCGATGTATGCACATTTCCTAAATGTTCTACCTATTTAGTCAGTTGATGTATGTATATTCCCTGCCTGTTCTACATGTTTAAATCAGTCTATGTGTGCACACTTCCTAATTTTTATAATAAAGAAAATTTTATAAACAATATAACTTTTTATTAACAGCTATGATAGACGTTACGCATAAAACTAGAACAAAATACTATAAAATATAACATAAAAGTACACACAAAATCATTAGCGCTTAAGACGAATCGATCCCTCGTCGTCGTACGACATGGTAAAATTATAAACCGCAAGACTGCACTTTACATATATCGTTGGAAGTAAATTATAAATATACTTTGTTTTTTATGCTACGCAATTATTAAAAACAATGGGTCATTAATTTACACAAAACTTCAAACGGCGGAATAGGTTTTTGATTCTAACATCTACCGCAATTCACGTACATGTTTTTGGAAAAATAAAGTTGAGAGCTAATGGAAATGGTAAACCTTTAGTAATGGGGCAAACTTGCATAAAAAGCACGAGGGTTAGGAGTAGAGGTGTCCCGGATAACTTTTTTTTATTATTCGACCGGATATTGAATACTCGGATATTTAAAAATTATCCAGCCGGATAACATAATTCAAATCCTAAAATATATATTTTATTATGACAAAATGTTGCCAAGATAAACCTTCAAAATTTCACAGCAATTTGCATTCCATGTGGAAATCTGGTCATAAGTCATTTTCCACAACTCGAGTGCGTAATCACGCAAAAAAATCTCATTGTAAATTGTATGAATAGGGAAAAAAAAATTATATTGAATCTTCTTCAGCTGCACAAGGAAGTTCAAAATGTATTGAATTCTGATCAATTCTCTTTTTTAAAAGCTGCTTTAGTAGTTGATATTTTTTTAAATCACTCGATTATAGAAAAAAATAATAAAGTTTTAAATTATTGAAAACATGAAGTTTCAACTGCTAAATGAATTAGCACTTAAGTTACTACCACCACCTGCATCCGTTGTACTTTCGGAAGAATGTTTTCATTATTTATGGGAAAAAGCGATCAAGGCTATTTCAACGTAAAAAAATGTTAATTTTTTCACGTTGAAATAAAAAAAATATATAAATGAGTGGTAAACTGATGTATTTGTTGCGCCTATATAATTTTAGTAATGTTTTAATAATAATAATAATAATAACAATATTGAATAGAAACCATTAACATTAGATTATTTTAAAATATAACTTTTTTAGGTTTCTTTCAATTTTCAATTGAAATAAAACTCCTATTCTTCCAATTTTCAACGAATGATACTCCTATCCAGCCATATATCTGGGCCGAATAGAAGTATCATTCATTGAAAATTAGAAGAATAAGAATATTACAAAGACAAGCTTTCAGATTTTAAAACAGGTTTTCTGTAATATAAGAGAAAAAACAGAAAAGTCTTTCTAAATTATTAAAATTATCTTTAAAATGATTATGTTTACTCCACTTAATGTAAATATTTCTATAACAAGAAAAGATCTTTTTTTTTAATTGAGGATAAAAACGTATTTGAAAAAAGAATCGGATTTGGTATGAGTTTAGTTTTTAATTAGTTCTTGAAAAAAAAAGTTTTTAATTGAAAATTAAGTAGGATATTCGTGTGTAATTTCACTTAAATACGACTTAAATACAAAAGGACTTAAATACAATAGTTCATGTTTTGTTTTAAGCAAAAATCGTAGAACTTGGTGTATATTAAGTTACACACTTAAGGTACAAAATTTCCTTGAAAGATGTTCGCAATCAAAGGTTCTGTGTGCACCAAATACAATCCTGTATGCGTGTTTTTGCCTAATATAAAGCTTTTTTAATTTACCATAATTCGTACTACCCTATATTTTATAGTAGTAATATTGCAGTAGGA